AAACACTCCTCTCGGTCATATATAGCTCTGGTGTGTCCACTTGCCCTATAGCGGTAACTTGTGGTTGCTGGGAGGCTGAACACTGTGACACTGATGTGTCAAATGTGTTAATGGTTGGTTACCTATGGCGAACAATGTTGAGTGGAGCTCCCCAATTAAAACAAGCTTGGAAGCAGAAGTGGCATCCACTTCTGTAATATCTTGCCTCTGGAAACCCTATGAACCTGGAGAGAGGATGAAAGACACAAAAGGTCATAGGGTCGCTATGAGTTGCCTGCAACTTGATGACACTTAACAACAACAACAACAACACACTGTGTGTCAGGCTCCACACTAATGGCCTTCCATGCGTTATTCCACTGTCAACAGTCTTATGAACTAAGCCCTTGTTACAATTCAAGAAACTGAGTTTCAAGGGACAGATTAGTTAATTATCCTAATATAATTCATAAAGTTATGTTGTGATCTCAAAAGATTACCATTGAAGGCACAATTTTTAGTCTCTATTTGTCCAGAATATAAAAATATTAAGTAAACCAGGAACTGACAGACTGAAGGAGTCTGCAGAACTAAAAGTCAACATGAACTATGGCTTCCTCTATCCTGAGACCAGAACTGGGTGGTTCCTGCTGACCACTGCTGACTGTTCTGATCAAGGTAACAATATATGGACCAACTGGAGCCAGAGTACAATGTGGAACTGAAGTCAAATTCTCAAATTACTAAGTCTACACTTGTAGTGGTTGTTGTTATTATTGTTATGTGCTGTCGAGTCACTTGCAACTCATAGAGACCCTGTTGTACAATAGCCCTGAAACCTGCTCTCTCCTGTACAAAATTTATTATCTCTGACACACCCACCCTCATTACCCCAGTCACTGAGTCAATCCATCCCATCAATGGTCTTCCTCTCTTTCTCTCTGTCCCTCCATTCTTCCGAGCATGATATCCCTCTCCAAGGACTATTCCCTCCTTGAAACTTGCCCAAGTATGTCAGATAAAGCCTCAGAATCCTTGCCTCCAAGGAGCAGCCTGTTTTCACCCTCTCCAGGAGAACCCTGTTTGTTCTCCTAGCAGTCTATGGTATATTCAACACTCTTTTCCAGCACCACAGCTTAAAGGCATCAATTCTCCTATCATCCCTAGTCATTGTCCAGCTTTCTGACGCATACCAAACAATTGCAAAGACTGTGGCCTAGATCAGGCACACCTTAGTCTCCAGACTGACATTGTTGCTTTTCAGTACTCTGGAGAGGTCCCTGATACCCAAATTTCCTAATGCAATTCATCTCTTGATTTCCTGGCTGCTGATACCAAGGGTGTTGATTATGGAGCCAAGTAAACTAAATCTGTCAACAGTCTCAATCTCTTCACCATCTGTCATGATGCTACCAATCAGCCCAGTAGTGACAGTCTTTGTTTCCTTGATGTTGAGCTTCAATCCATATTGGAGGCTGCAGTCCTTGACCTTCTTCAGCAAGCACTTCAGGTACTCCTCAGTTTAAGCAAGGCGGCTGTGTCATCTGCATAATGCAAGTTGTTGATGAGTCTTCCTCCAACCCTGATATCATATTCCTCCTCATTCAGCCCAACCTCCCAGATTATCTGTTCTGCATATAGATTGAAAAGGTATGGAGACAGGACACATAGCTGGTGTACATCCTTCCCGATTTTGAATCATGCAGTGTCTCCTTGCTATGCTCTGACAACTGCCTCCTGGTCCAAGTATAGATTTCATATAAGCACAATCAAATGTTTTGGAGTTCCCATTTTTCTCAGTCAGCCAAAGTTTGTTGTGTTCCACACAAACACCTTTGCATAGTCAATGAAGCACAGATAGACATTCCTCTGGTATTCTCTGCTTTCAGCAAAGATCCATCTAACTTTAGCTATAATATCCCTAGCACCACAACCTCTTCTAAACCCAGCCTGCACATCTGGCAGTTCTCTGTTGATATACTGCTCCAGTCATTTTGGGATAATTTTTAACAGAATCTTGCTTGCATGTAATACTAATGATATTGCTTGACAATTTCCGCACTCTGATGGGTCACCTTTCTTTGGAATGGGAGCAAATCTAGATCTCTTCAGTCAGTTGGCCAGGTGATTGTCCTCCAGATTTCTTGACACAACTTAGTGGGCGCATCCAGGACAGCATGTTTATTGAAGTATGTCAATTGGTATGCCATCAACTCCTGGGGCCTTGTTTTTTGCTAATTCTTTCAGAGCAACTTGAAATTCTTCCTTTATCACCACAGGCTCTTGGTCATACGTTGTTTCATGAAATTCTTCTCTGTCAGCCAATTCCTTCTGGTACAGTGACTCTGTGTACTCCTTCCATCTTCTTTTAATGCCTCCTGGATCATTTAATAGTCTGCCTTACTAGAGCAATTAAGACTAGACTTCTCAAGTGTGTTGCCCTGAGACACCCTAGATCTTGCCCCCTTAAGGTCTTTAACTAAATAACAGATTGGCTCATAAAATGGAGGGAGGGGGAACCACTTGTGAGTGGGCACTCCTTTCAAAAGCTTTCTCTCTAAGGCTAAATGGTCAAAAAATTACTGTGAAGCGAAGATGAGAAAGTCAGAAGGCAAGGACACTTGAGCACTGGAAATGTTACAGCCGGTGCAGAATGAATGGGAATGATGGCACGTTGTAAAGATGTAACCCACATCACTGGACCACTTGTGTGCAAATTGCTATGTGGAAACTTTATTTGCTATGTTTCACCATAAGCGCGCACACACACACACACACACACACACACACACACACAAAAGAAAAAATAGAAGTGATTTGCGCAGGGCAAACCAGCTAAGTGATGGTGGCAGGTTTTGAACTGGGGTCAGACTGAAGCGAGTGTGCTCTGAGTCACTTTACAGTCCTCTAACAGGGGAGTTTAGTAAGCAATTACAGGGACCAAGAACTCCTTTCCTAGCACAACATAAATAAACTATCCTTTATCAGTCAAGAAAGGAGCTTTAGCAGCATTCCTTTGTTACAGTCAG